AAGCTAACGATACGCACTCTGGTGGCATAATCCTCAACTCGCATATTTGGAATGTATAGATATAATTTTATATTGGTTATTTTACTTTTTACAATAAATTAATTAAGTTATCGAAACTTTATACGTTTTTATAGCTAACTGTATACGTTGGTAAGTATAATTTCTACTAATGTTATCAAATACATTTAAATACACTTCACTTAAGACAAAATGTATGCGAAATGTCGGGAAAATAAATACAATCTTTTGACTTGAATCCCGACTCGACGTAGGGGGGAACCCCCGTAACCATCAGTACGATAGGCGTCGACAGCGCTCCCAGTGTTAATTTGTTTTGCCAATAACAACATGTCGATCGGTGACGTCAAATGAAACGACGGATCCGGGAGCGCGAGATTGGAATATCCACTGCAAACGACTTTTGTGGTAAATCAGTAGTAATGGTCGGCAACACCCATGCCTGAACCGGTAGAGTTGGATCAGACTCGAACCGCGGCTGCACTATGCACTCAACATGCCCTTGAACTTCAGCGACTGTCGTCCCCGACAACCCGCTTATCGGAGCAGTCCAACGCGATAATTTTATCAATTATCGCGCTGACCTGTGATGCGCTATCTACTAACGCGCGCATTGTTTGCACATAGGGCAGAGCCGGTGCTACCTTGCACGTGCCCGAGCGCGGTACCTATAACAGCCGACGCCCGGTGGATTCACGACAGACGCACACACCGCCGTTTCGGCCGGTGGTGGTTCCTCTCCACCCTGCCGCTCATCTGGTGACAAGTGGAGAAGCATGTGACGCGAAGGTTACAATTAGGTTTCGACCTACAATTCTGGATCCAATGACCGACATTTAAACAATTAAAACATACACGATTCTCACGGGCCCATTTAGTGCGACCTTTCGCCATGTACATGCTTAATCTGATTAATCACGTCCAAACGCTTAATCTTAAGGCGCGCTACGCTCGGTGGCCTCAATCTCAGTTCCGCCAGCCATGACACTATATCTATCACGCGTCCCAGCAATCAACCCAAAACACTACTGAACCTCCCTCAAAGGCCAAAAACCACGCTCAGCTACCAAATGATGACGCCGATACCGATCCTGCAAATAATGCGATTGTCGGCAACGACATGCGTAAGGGGTTGGGGACAAGTAAGCGGAAGGGGTTACCCTTGAATACACTTAAATACTTAATAACCACTTTATTTGGTCGGAAACACGTATATTATATATTATATAATATATAATATAATATATGTATATAAATTGGGCGCCCAAATAATAAACTTCAAACTAAAAATCATACAAATAATGTTGGCATACAACAGTCTAAACAGCCCGACTGACTCCGTGGGGGACGAATAATATACAATCCAACCTGATGCGGCGACGACGTGGCCCACGATGCGGCGATGATATTGGACGACGACCAATGGAGTTTCTTCGCCGGAACAGCGACAGCGGACAAATCTTCCCAGCGCACGGGCACTTCTAAATGATACGCGATCACGCAAAATATCATTCACTCGTGATCACGCGAGGTTTTGGTTTTCGCACTATGGCGGCGGCAAGCGAACACATTCCGCTGGAAAAAAGACAAAAGCACAAGGACACGACGGCCAACGGCTAAGATCGCCGGCTAACGCACCGTCGGCGTCGGTCTGCGGAGGGGGACGTCGTCACTCGTCGCTCGCAAATTGTAACGTCCGACACGATAATATGTGCCTTTGGCGGCAACCCGTTCCGCGTTCGAACAAATATATGTATTTATCATTTATGAACAATTCGATATCGATTTTGGTTTTCGTCCTTAGTTTAAATAAAATAAATAAATAAAATATCTTTAGCTTAACTAAATATTTTTTACTCCTTGAAACCGTCTTTTTATCGTCGACGAAGATCGCTACGGTAAGTTATCGGTACCTACCAACATATTGTATTATAGCGAAATATTATACGAACATTAGATATGTCGTACACATGATTGAAATATACGTGTGTACTGTGTACGGACTACGGAGACAACATAATATGCGGATGCGACCTATTCTTAATTAAAAGCTATAAATATAATATAGAACATAAACATTGATATTGGCTGATAACTGATTCTGCTATAAATAAATGAAACGCCTATAGTCTATACGCCTATCACGGACTATTATACCGGACTTGAAACGTCTTGGGTGGCGGGTGACGAGGGACCGGTCCGCTTAGTGTCCGCGAGAGAGGTGTAGAAAGGGGAATAGTACGTGAGCTAATCTAGCGCACCTTGGTTTACCACAGGCATACTATTCTTTCAAACTTATTAATATTGTAAATTACGTTTTAGACTAAATACCTATATCTAATTAATAACTATAATTATTGTTCCTAACACATTTTTATTGTTTAAAGGAAATTTGATTTGAATCAACCCTACATTTGTAGGATCTATCAACTTATTGAAAACATAAAAACTGGCGACTTCATCATTTTTTATCGCGATTTGTTTTTCAATTACAAGTTGATCAATTAAGTACACTGGTTTGTAAAACACTACTGTTCGAACGCGGCTGAATTTCCCGCCGAACGAAAAAAATCCAAAGGCTTTGCAAGTCAAGCGGTCGGCGCGGAATGTTCGCGATGAGACGTTCCCCCCTCCACGGTGTCTCCAAGCCGGACGGTGTCCACGGCTCTCGTGCCGGGACACCATCCTTTTTGTCTTTTGCCAACGTTTGAACCAGGCGGATTACGCACCGCCGGTTCGTTGTTTTTTTTGCTCGCTGTCGAGCTGTGACCAACCTCGTGGTCATTCGACATCCATCGTTTTTTTCTTTTGTCAAATTGTCAAACCGCGACCGTCAAAAACTTCGGGATAGCCGAAGTTTGACGGTTTATTGTAGTTTGTGTCACAGCCGACCATAATTGTCGAAGAAGAAGAGCTGTCGCCTTTCCAGCAGGACCGGACCACCCGTGACTCACGCCGGAGTGTCGATCAGGTCATCGTATACCATATTTCTATTTAATTAGTATTGCATTTTTTTTATTTATTGTTATATTATGTGTACCTAATGTTATGTTGTTGTAAAAATATATATATTGCGCCATTGCGCCTTAATTTATTCTCAACTTGTACGGGATAAGATATTGTGAGTGTGCACCCCCTTTACGTCCACGACATATCGCGAGTCGTTGTCGCTAATCGCGAAATTTAAAAGTAGGAGCGGCGCGGCGTACAACTACAGTACTGTTGTTAGTATAACTTGTAATAACCAAGTGGCTTACTGGATCAATTACAAACATTTGTTTCTAGACAAAATGATTTTAATATTGCACATATTATTGCTATTAGAAAATACATTTTTTTTTTATAATTAATATTTACTTTTATATCTACTAAACAGATCTGTTTGCATGATGTACTGTTTGAAGCCAAATCAACAGAATCAAAATTCCTTTTAAGAATTTTGGGAGCCTTAAAATATAAATACATTAGTAATGTAATATAAAATATAAAATTAATATATTTTCAGTAATTACTTCTGCTGTAAAAAGTTCTCTATTAACGGAGTGAGTTGGTGGTTCATATTGAGTACTATCACTATGGGAAAGTATTTGGTTGAATAATGAGGGAATAGTCCCCTTCTTCAATGAGAACACTTTTTTCTGTCCGAATTCCTTTGAAGTAAATTAATTTTAATACCAAATTCCTTTAAATACCTATTTATTTTAACTCTTACTTCGATTACATCTGATGCTATTGGATATGTAATACTAATATCTTCGGGTAAAAAATGTTCTGAGCAAACATACTTTATATCTTTTACCTGGTTATTAATTGAACTACGGAATGCTGATTCCCAAGATGACTTATTCGCATTTGTGACACTGAAAAGTGTCACTTTAATATTGCGATTTTGGCTGTTACACCCAGACACTGAACATTTACGCATTTTTATGCCATAAACTTTATATTTGGTCTGATTTGCTATAAAACACTAATGATGGTCCTAACTAATAACACATAATAGTCCGTGAATAAATCAGTCTTATTATAGAGTTCGAAATTAATTAATTTATATGTATAATAATATATAATAGTTAGTTTGAAGTATAGATTGCGCTAGATTAGTTCATGTACGATTCCCCTTACTACACCTCCCTCGCGGACACTAAGCGGCCCGATGGTAAACGTCTCGTTTCCAGTCCAGTATAATAGTCCGTGCTTAAAAACGATCTTATCATAACATGTCGTCAGGCAATCATACCACGGACACTGAGGTAGATAAGAATATACCAAGTTAAATCTACCACGAACTTCGTTAAAAACACTAAAACGTGTGCATTACGTATTTTGTAGTTAAAAATTCAATTCAAAGTATTAAATTTTTGTAGCTAAGGCTTGACAATTTAATTTAATGTTAGGAACCAAGTATCTAAAAAAAAGTATATAAACACAAATTTTTTATAGACTTTTTTAAGATCAAATTTTGACAAAAATAGATATTCAAACAAAAATTTACAATTTATTTTATTTTGTAGTAATTCAAAAACATTATTTGTTGGCAAACTTTAATGTACCTACTTATATGTTATTATATTTTACATCACGTTGGCATCAGTAAAACATTTAGTTTCATTTAAAGGCCTATATGTATTGAACAAACCTACTCAGCTCTCAGTTCTCACACATACCGGTATAGACTCGAAAGTTAATGATAGTAATAATAATAATT